TTCACTTTCAACTGCATAAAAAGTTTGATTAATTTAAGAGAGTAAAAAGTAACTAATTTCTTTAATCGTTTTTATTTCTTGCGGCCAACAACAAATTATTGTTAGCGTTAATTGTTAGCGTTAAATGCATGTAGGCTTCACGGTTAAATGGTCCATAAAAAAACAGCAACACAAAAAAGATATTTAACTTTAAAATGTAAGTAACAATATTTATAGACAATATAACCCGAGTTTAAACCCAAATATACATATTAGGGTGGCCCAAAAAAAAAGAATATTTTTTTTCTCTTGTCTCTTGTGAAAATATGTTGGTTTGTCATGTTTTAAGAGCCCTGTCAAAAGGTCAGCTACATTAAAAATTGTTTGTGGGTCGCTCAAGATTTTTAAAAATTTCCAAAATCGTAAAAAATTGGATTTTTTTTTATTTTAATTTTTTCTCTCGTTCCGATATTATTTTTTAATTTAAAAATAATAATGATTCTGAAAATCGATATTTTGATTTCTGAAGGTCGCTCAAGATTTTTTTAACTTTCAAAGTAGAGTATTTTGAATGTTTTTGAGCGACCTCTGAATATAAATATCAACGAATTTTTAGCAACCTTTAGAAATCAAAATATTGATTTGAAATTTACAGAATTTTTATTATTTTCATCCAAAAAAATAATATCGAGACGAGATAAAAAATTAAAATAAAACAAATATTCAATTTTTGACGATTTTGAAAATTTTAAAAAATCTTGAGCGACCCCTAAAATTTTTTTAATCGAGCTGATATTTTGACAGGGCTCTTACAGCATGATAAACTAACATATTTTTAGAAGAGACGAGGAAAAAAAATATTCTTTTTTTTTGGGCCACCCTAATACATATACTAAATACACAGTGCAACAATTTTTGGGTCATCGCTTTCAGCCCAAATATATCGGAATTTTTTATGGTATCTTGAAGTTTGCATTCTTTGTAAGTCAATAAAATAAATGAATTAATAAATCAAACAAGTGAAATTAAGTATTGTATCATTGAACAAACTAAAATATTGGAAATCCTACCAGTGGCGGATCCACAGGGGGTTTTCCCTTCCCCCTTCTTTGGAATTGAAAAAGCAAAAATTTTAAATTTATTTGTTATTATTAGTAAATGATTATCCGAAGGTGCAGGGTGTTTCTTAAATAATAGGACCGTAAGTTTAGGACACAATTTCTAAATATATTTTAAGAAAAAAAGTTCATATAGAAATATGTATGATTTCTAATTTTTTATAGTTAATTTTTTAAAATCTTCCACATGTGGTATAAGGAATTGGAAAAATGTAACAAAATTTGTTATGTGGGGTTTTTGAATCCAAACATGTTTTCAATTTAAAAATATTATACCTACTTAGTGGTTTTTCACGATTACCATTTCATTTCTTATTGTCGCAAATTTTGTCGAAATAAAATCCAATCGAAATTCATGGTTTTAAAGAAAATGCCTCTTAATATTTTCGGACCACCGAACAAGTCTGATATGTGAAGAATGAAATTATCTAGAAACCTTGATTTTTGTAGAATTTTAAATTCATGTGAACATGTGCCAGGAAATGCTCAGATTTTAAAATAAAGGGCGTTAAAAATAACTAACAAAAATTTTTTAAAAATAATTTTTGACACCCTGTAAATCAGTAAGGTAGCATTTTAGGATATATCTTTATTTAAACTTTATTTCCTAAAATATCGTAAAGAATTGCGTTGTGAAGTTACCGACCTTAGTTAGGAAACACCCTGTATATGTCAGGATCAGGGGACGGATTTAGGATTTTGAGAAGGTGGTCACAAAAATGTCTGCCCTTTCTTTGGATAAACACTTAATAGTAATATTATTAAATATAAATAAATTTCGAATTTGGTTTTACCCATCTCGAAGGGGAGAAAGGCCAGACCCAAAAACCTGTGGATGCGCCGCGCCACTGCACTGGTCAGGATTTACCATATTTTTATTTTTTCAATGATACAATACTTAATTTCACTTGTTTTATATATTCATTAATTTATTTATTCGACAAAGAGCAAAAAAATGGTGTATTTTTATTTAGCACTGGAATTGTTACACTGTGCAATTAGTAATTAGTAATTTTTTTAAGAGAGTAGTATTTGGCATCAACGCAATATGTGCAGTGCAATAAGATGCAAGTTTACGTTCTGTTTTTGAAACAATATTTTTCATAGCAATTGTCGATGTTAAATAAAGGTAACGTGATCGTACAGAAAAAAATCACTTTCTTTAATCTAAATAGACATGGAAACATACATATATGTTAATATATTATTTTAAGAGAGGTATAGCAACTTCTTTATATTGGGTAATAATATTTTTGCTTTTTATAAGTTTTGTTTAGATTAATCTTGACAATACCGTACAATTTTTTTTTGTCCTGTAAACCACAGTAAACATTAATTTAAAAATGCGTTGTTATTTATAATTGTCGAGCGGAAAATTTAATAACCGTAGATTCCACGCCTCTTGTTTTCATTTATCATCTGCGTAATAAAAAAAAGCTCATTAGGTTTACCGGTCTAGTTTCTGGGAACAAAATTGCACAAAATTCTTTTAATTTAATAGGTAGATTTTTTAATACTGTGTTATTTAGTTCAATTAAATACTGTTTTTGTATTTTTGAAATAGTGTAATTGTTGTAAAAAAAATTAGTACATAAATGAATAGAGGGCATAATTAATTAATAGGGGACTGCGGACTACAAACTGAGAGGTCGTGGGTTTATTTGTGTCGTCAGTGTGTACTCCTTTAATTAGTCCAGGTACCTGTTGGAAGCACATAACAATAATAATAAAAATACAAATAATAATAAAATAGTATAGTTATTGTCTATTCAACAATGTTTGGCCCTATTTCGAGAACTATATACGTATATGCCATTTTTACACAAAAATATACTAACGGCCATAAAGCCAATTAATATTTTGTGGTTGCGGCTATGTGATAGACATTGGCAGTATGTTTTGAGCAACAAGGACAATTGTAAATGTATAAGTATTTTTATGACAATTTGTGTTTTTTTTTTAACTTCTTAAGCCAATTATGAAATAAAGGCTAATTATTAATTATATTTACATGACTAATAACTAGATTTTAAATGGAAAATTTTTATTTGGAAAATATAAAGATTTTTCTTTAACAGAATATTTTTATTTACTTAAAAAAATTACCCAAAAAGTTATTTTTCGAACGTTTTTTCATTATTAAATAAAAGGGCTTATAAAATATTTTCTCGAAAAACCCTCGAACACGTAAACTGATATAAGTTGAAGTACTTTTATCCAAAATTTCATAAAGAATAATAAAGGCGTTTTAGAGTTAAATTTTTTTTACAGTGGTTGCAAAAATTATGGCCAACACTCTAAATAAGTACATGTATATTTTTAAATTATAACCATGGGCGCTTATTATAAATAATATAATCAAAAAAATGTCAAATTTTTATATCCAAGAGCTCTGTCTTCCTTAGAAAGCACTTAAATATTCTTTGCGTGGTATAATAATTTTATTTTTAAATTTGATCCAAACTTTACCGGTCACTAATTCGACCAAATCCATTTTATGATGTAATTGCTTTTTTATGGATTTTGCAAGTATTTCCCAACGGAAAATTCCCATAGGACGTAAAGGCGCCTATATCCTTTTAAAAAATAATAGAAAAGATTTACAAAACGGCTACAACTCCTCGTAGACCATTTAAATAAATCGTCGTTTTTATAATAAATTTTTTAGGTAGTTTATGTGGAAAAAACGCCCATTACGGGCTGAAGTTAATTTTAAGTAAGTTGACAGTTGTCAAAAGTCATACAATCCACGGTGCTGTTCTGAGAGGTGATTTTTGGACTTTCTGTGAAACCTAATTTTTTTTATATTCTTGTTAATTAGGTCATAACTAAAATTTTAAGAGCAAAATAAAAAAAAATTGACGGTTAATTTTGTTTTAATTGGATGTTTATTAAAAATATGTATGCATGCACACTTTCAATTCTCCAATTAAAACTTGCGATTCTGAGAGAACAAAAATTATAGAATACGTATACTGAAAATGATAATTCAAACGTCAAATAAATTTTTAATGGATCTAAGTTTCATGGCAACCTTTAAGGATATATTAATTAAGGGAACATAAATGTATACGTCAAAGGTTAGATTAAAAGTTGGAACGTTTATTGCAACAAAACAGTAAAATATATAAAAAAAAATTGTAAAAACCTTTTTTTTAGTTATGCAAATATTCAGGCCAATTCACCAACATGAGTCGTTAACGTTAGCCACTAGAATTAGTGTTTATCGTTATATTCAATTCGTCTGATTGGTCGGATTGGTCTATAACCACTGATCCTAGTGGCTAACGTTAACGACTATTGTTAGTGAATTGGCCTGATTACATATTTAAATTAAATCGCTAGTTTTAATTGGATAATTGAAAGGGTGCATAATATTTTTAATAAACAGCCAATTAAAACAATTCAAACCGTCGGATTTTTTTTATTTTGCTCTTAAATTCTTAGTTATGACCTAATTAACAAGAATATAAAAAAAAATTAGGTTTTACAGAAAGTCCAAAAATCACCTCTCAGAGAAAAAAACATTGCCTATTTTAATCTAAAACCAGAGAATCAGATTCTGGCAGAGATAAAGAAGGACCAAAGTCCTTTACTTAATGATGCTTTTTGAATAAAATTCAAGTATGAAGTAAATTGATTTTTCTTTCAAACACGAAATTCGTGATTTGGTCTCAACTTTTTAAAAACTCTTTGAAAGTAACAAAGTTATGTAAAAGTTTGGGTCATTTTAACCGAATACGCAATTTCCAAGTTAAAAAAAGGGAATAAATACGAAATATAAATAACAATAAAAAATATATGTTAAATTACCTAAACACAGCGATGTTATTAAAATGTACAAAGCTTTTATTTAAATTATGAATTTATAACGACTATAAATTTAACCTTTTTTAATTTTAGGTATCTGATGTTAACGATGATGTCCGTCGTGCTGCAGTTACAGCTTTAGGATTTCTATTATTCAGGTAAGAACTTCATGTTTTTTAAAGAATGGTTTTCAGTTTTATTTTAAAAACAATCCGTTGTTTATTTTTTATTAACTTTTACTTTTTCTTGAAAAACAGAAATCAGGTCCAAATCGTTTAATATAACCTTTATTTTTGATTTTTCCTGCAAAAAACTTTTAATTGTTTATAAAAGTTTGTCAACTTGGTCGGTGCTGCTGACTAGTATACAAGCCGGGTGGTAGGGTCGAATTCCACATTAGTATGGTGTTTTCTCACTGTAAATTTAAGTCATCTGAGGGGACTTTAAGTCCGCGGTTTCTTCCTACCCTTAACCCGCTAAAGCCATTCAGTTTGCTTCTGAGACTTCTTAGAAAGTAAGGATGGAACTAAAAAAGTCATTCGTATAATTTTTGTAAAAGGTTTTAAACGTGCATAATTTCAAAAGTTATTGTATATTAAGTATCAAGAACAGTAAGGCTAGATCGATGACAATGTTGTCGTCAATATTGGAGGGGATCGGTGAACTTCTTACTGTTTAAGATGCTTATACTATTTTTTGTACGACCATTATACACAGACATTAAATACAAATTTCTATTTTTATTTTGTGCACGTTTTTTGTCAAAAATCTTTTAACAATGTTTGGAATTCGTTGTTATGGATACGTTTGTAATTATATTTTGTAATGTCACGATATTGTCAAACGGACGTGACAAGCTGTTAAAATTATATTTAATCGATAAGCGAAGCAAAGAAAATACAGATATTGAACAATCCTGGAAAATAGGACGTTTCTTTATAATAACAAGAAATCAAAACATCGCTATGAAAGAAGTGGGAAAGCAAGGGAAATAACTTAAACGAAAAGTCCTGTTGGCATATTTTTTGCAGATTTTTAAAGTGCTCTATATTATTTCAAATATTTTGGAATCCATTAAGATAATAATCAATTTGGCCGGTGTTGCACTATACGCCGCAAATAGATACCGTAAATCATTCAAATGACCATGGTAGTACAAAAAACGTAATAATGTCGTTTTAACTCCCGTATGCAGGGTTACCATTTACATAACCAATATAATTTTAACCATGGCCAAGGATAATTTTCCTTAATTTTAGTTACGTTAATGTTTATTTATCTACGCCAGTGAGATAAGAACTTCTTATCCCACTCATTTTGAGTGAGATAAGAAGTTCATTAACGCACGCGTTTTTCTCTGCTTTTAACCAATCAAATAAAAAAGTCAAAATGTCAAAATAACCCTAAATTAAGTCTTAGACAAAAATAATTACCGTTTATTTTTTCATTTAGAGGCGTAGATAAAAATGTGTACAATATGCGTGTGATAACGCTTTATTAACGTACTTTTGCGATTGCCCAACTCGTGCTACGCACTCGTTGGGCAAATTTCGCATGCGTACGTTAATAAAGCTCTTATCCCACTTATATCGTAAATAACTATTAATTAATTATCCAGTGCCATGCATAGTTTTTTGTTTAATCGCTAATATGATTTCTTAAAAATTTACTCCTAAAAACTATTTAAGAGAAATATTATTCAATTTTGAATAATTGTCTATGGTGTGATGTCAACAGATTACAATCAATTGATAAATTAATTGTCATAATCAATTGTGTGCTTATTATGTTGCCAAACGCATGCGTATTGTTAATGTAAAAATCCCAAAATGCATTTTTTTCAAACGATGAAACATTAATTATTAATAAAAACCATTGTTTCCACATTATGTACATTGGACCTCATCTATATAATAAGACTTAAAAAAATATAATTAAGGTAAACCTATTATATTTAAGTTTAAAAACTCAATGTTTAGCTCTGCCATATTTTTAAATAATGAAATTAAGATTTTTTAAACAATTCTCTGGGATTTCTGTATGTTTAAACACCTTCCTAACAAACTTTTGAATTTGCACGTTTCTACCATATGAAATCAAACATCCTTATTTGATGGTAAAATATAGGCAGAAATAAAAAAATTGTAATTTAACATTTATTCCTGGGTTTTAATGTTGATCTATACTTAAGTATTGCAGATTTAAAATTGTAAATCTCTGTATAGAGATGCGACTTGAAAAAAAAACGGTCCGTTTTTTTTGTTTTTTTTTTCAGGTTTTTTTTCATTGTTTTTTTTCAAATGGTTTTTTTTCATGTTTTAGGTTTTTTTCAAGATTAGTCTAATTGCCTAATTTTGTATGTATGTAAATACAGTCTCGCGCTTTGCACGCGCCACCACCAGCGAATTGACCAATAAGGGCCGCACTTGTTTTGATTTGGTCCTAAAAAAAGTAACTAGGTACCTATAATATTTTTGATTCAGCGCTTGATTTTTCAAAAACCATCAAAAGCACTTTATTCGTGATTTTTCAAATTCAAAAAAACAATGGCAAATTCTTGTAGAACATTTATTCATTGGTGGTAAGAACATTTCGTGAACCAAAAAAAAGCCAAAAAGTTTTTTTTATTTTTTATTACGGTTTTCGTTAGGATTGAGCGTTGCACGTTTTTCATCTAAAAATCTCAAAACTAGACACTTCAAGCTTCAAATTGCTTTTTTTACGGCTCCAATACGACCATTTTTAACGAAGATACAGCTATCAGAAAAATCGCAAAAAACTTGGAATTTTTTTTTCTATTAGTGTAGAAGTTTTACATTGTTATTGGTTTCTTATGTGGAAACTACCAAATAATAAGAAATCAGATTTTTTAGTCTCGATCAAAATTTTCAATAATGAAAAATGTAATATATTCTACATTTTACTTTATTATAATAATAATAATAATAATAATAATAATATATTAATTAATATAAATTTTACTCAAAATTTCATTTTGAAAAATTACTCCATTTTTTAAGTTTTTTTTTTATTTATTGACAGAATATGCTATATTGCAGCGGATTTGAAAAAAAAAAACAAAAAAAAAAACGTTTTTTTAGTTTTTTTTTCATGTTTTTTTTTCACATCTGAAAAAAAAAACCGTTTTTTTTACATCTCTATCTGTGTACATCTATGTCTAGCTATATTTGCAATTTGAACCAGTGTGTATCTACTGTTTGATGTTATGTTCCGGCTTCTTGTTCGTTTTTTATCATCAACAACAACGTGCCCTTTGTCGTCTGATTTTCACAATTCAATTGCTCGCTAATTCAAAACCAAAATGTCAAACACTCAATTTGCGGGTCGGTAAATCGAATTATTCGCTAAATGTTTTTAATCGACCGCTAAAGGCCACCATCCGATTACGTAATTTCGCTTTTGCTATCGCCGTTTTCATTATTAAAGCTCTATTAATCAGGTAGTGCTGATATTTAAAAACATAAAATATACGTTATAAATAACATCATTTCAATAGTCAAGTTTATTAATTATTGTCAAATTCGCTTCGTAATAATTATATGAAATTCATTCAAATTTGAAAAATTCTGCTTTCGCGGTCAAGCAGTTGTAATTGGTCGTTATTTTATGTTAGTTATGACAGCACACCTTTGTACCAGAGCTGGGCACGAGTACAAAAAAAAGTATTCGTAAAATTACGAGTACGAGTATTTAAAATATTTACTCGTAAGTACTTTACTCGTAAGTACATTTGTAAAGAGAGGTTACGGATACGAGTAGTAATCGTGAAAACACGAGTAAAGAGTACGAGTACTTTTGAAGAAAAAAAGTTAGTTAATATAATTGATTATTCTTTACTCTCTAAAAATGGGTTAGTCAAAAATGACTAATTGTCATAGCGAAAAAGCAGCCACTAATAATTCTTGTCAATAGCAATTTGTATTTTTAACATTTAGCAGTCAATTTCCATGTAAAATGTTTCCCTGAATCCGAAAATGTCGTCAAAAGTTAAAAAAGTAGAACAGTTTTTGAGATATAGTCCATTTCCATATAATATGGAATTTACTATATCTTAAAAACTGCTCCACTTTCATAATTTTTGACGGTATTTTTACTAATTTCCACTAATAACTGTGGTAATTAGCCATTTTTGACTAATTCATCTTTAAATTACATTACATTATACATACTTTGGTCCTGAGCTATACAAATACAAATTTATAAAATTATTTATTTTAAACATTATGTACATAAAATAATAACAATTCTTAAATAGTTTATAATTTTACCTATTTACTTATACTGTCTGTCCACTCTAAGTTGGCTGAACTAAGGAATTTTGTTGTTTAAATATTAATGAATTGTCGTACTGTGTGCTTTTAAAACAGATTTTATATTATAAATAATACTAGTATATAATATGTACTAGTATTATTTATAATATAAAATCTGTTTTAAAAGCACACAGTACGACAATTCTTTAATATCTAAACTACAAAATTCCTTAGTTCCGCCAACTTAGAATGGACAGACAGTACTTATATATATAGGCTATAATAATATATTATATTATACTATATATTATATAATTTAAAACATACTTTCAAACAAAATGTTTTGATGATTACGATATTTTGGAAAAAAGTCATCCATATATTAAACGAAAATACTCGTATATATTACTCGTGAATTCCACGAGTATTTTTTACGAGTACATTGAATTTGGTTTGTAAGTACGAGTTATAAATAAGTATTTCAAATGAAATATACTTATGAGTAAAAAAGTACTTGTACTTTTTTACTCGTAATTAAAATACGAGTAAAAGTACTCAGTACTTGGCCAGCTCTGCTTTGTACTATGCTTCATATAAAAAATCCACATTTGACTAAGAAATTATTGATGTATGTATCTGCGAGTTTAAAGCTAATTTTATCCTATTTTATGAAAATAATAAAATATATGTATTTTTTGTACATAAAGGTCTTAATTTATAATATAATAATAATAATAATAATAGTAATAATAATAATAATAATAATAATAATAATAATAATAATAATAATAATAATAATAATAATAATAATAATATTTATTGTTTGCAAGCTTACAGATAACACAAAATATACAAATTACAACAATAAATATGCTTAAATACAC